AATGCGTTTCTAAAGTGCATAAACTTTTAGGATTGACTGTATAGCCAATACATCCTTGAATTATATTTGAATTGTTGTCAAGTGCTGTAATGTACAAGTAACATAAACAGGTTAAATAAATTCAACTCAATGCGTTAATAAGTTGATATCATATATGCATATAACGCGATGCGATGATTAGTTAAGAAATTTCTTAACTACAACTTGTTGTCGCGTTAACAAATTTTCTGCTTTATAAATACGTACGTATTAGTCAGTATAAAAGAAAATGGCATTGAAAAAGCATCGAACAAAACAATGCATTTCAATTTAGGGTAGGATTTATGTCCATATTTAAATACATCTATGAGCAGTTTGATAGACAATATATCATTATGTACTTTCTCTTTTCATTACAGCTCCGAAGAAATGTATATATTTCCATAAATACGTCTTTTTTAACTTTCTCCTGTCGAAGAGGCCTGTAAACGTTTGATGAAGGTCCGTGGATCACGCAAAAGGTTATTGTGCATGTTTCTTTAACAAACATGACACACTTTACTCATCTCAATATCAACGTATCCCGTGTTTACACCTACCGGCGCGTTCTTTCTTACGGTGCAAAGTCAAGAAACAGTAAACGCGAGCAAGTAAGAAAAAAAAGTTTGATCTGCCTACACAGGCACACTCTAATAAACGCGTTGACGAGAAACATATAATATGCGCGTTCCTACAATTTGAGTCACGTTCTCTTTGAATAAATTTAAATTGAAAATAAGCTTCTTATGAAAACCGTTATCTCAGTGATTGTTAATTAGTACTTATCTACGTCTCATTTACAAAGAGATACAAATTAAACTCGTTAATAACAGAAATGTTATATAAAAAGGAATTATGATCTGTATTAATTCCCATTCGTAAAGCCAAGTTATTTCTTTACCTGTACACTGCAAAGTTAAGAACATTCGTCGAGCACATTGAACGGACCTTGTTAAATCTCAATAAGCAATTGAAGCAAGTAGCGCGGCACCAGCCGACCTTCGGATTATTCGGGCCATTACAAAAGAAAGTAATTCGCTTATTATGAACAATAGGTACTGCGACCGAGTAGGTAATAGGCGTCATGGTAGCGATCGATTTACATTTTTCCTTCGACAATTATCGAGACGGAGGCTAACAGCCACTGGACTTCGATCAAACCGATAAAAAAAGATGCCCAATACAAATCAAACTTCGTTAATGAACTGAGATAATAAGAACGGGGGATATGAAATCAAACTAAATTTAATCACAGAAGTAGCAACGCAAAGTTTATACTTTCCAACTACAAATAGTACGAACGAATAACACGACATGATAAGGAGATATCAAACGAGGAAGAATCACCACAAACCTTGTCATAACTTACGTAACGTTTATTTATGTTTAAATATATTTCCCAGTTGTACTGACTAAATTGTGGGCTATTAACGCGCATGGACCTTGAAAATATTCTCAAATGAACTTTGTGTGATTACAAAATGTAATAATGATTTTTCTAAACAGTTTATAATATATTATTCTATTAAGATAATATTCTGATTCTGTACATATATTTATAAATATGCTTGTGGCACAACGTATATAAGTACTTGAAAATGTTTAAATATATTTCCCAGTTGTACTGACTAAATTGTGGGCTATTAACGCGCATGGACCTTGAAAATATTCTCAAATGAACTTTGTGTGATTACAAAATGTAATAATGATTTTTCTAAACAGTTTATAATATATTATTCTATTAAGATAATATTCTGATTCTGTACATATATTTATAAATATGCTTGTGGCACAACGTATATAAGTACTTGAAATTTCGAAATAGAAATAATCAAAATTTCGTGAACTACATTAAATTTTATTGATTTACGTAAGCAATGTCGTTCAAAACCAGATCAATTCAATTTTTAACTATAAATGCTCCAGAGATAGCGATAAAAAACTGTCGTACAATGTCAGATATGTCAAGAGAGACGAAGAACGATCAACAACATGTGGCACGTTTTCGTTGGGCCCGATACAGGGCCAGTGTGACCACAGGCTTATCGTGGCCGACCACCACGCGTCGTCGTTACGTTCGAGTTGTGGGGCCCCTCGGGCGAAAACCTCGGAACCGGTTTCGAGCGTACAGAATGGCCGGGTAGCCGGCCAACGTGTGTATACGACTCGCTACGACTTTCTAAACTTCCGTCGCACAGCTAGTACACGCTGTACGCGTATAGATACATGCATGCAGTACGCTCAACCCGTGCACTTTATTTTTCATTTTTCCCCGCCAACATGTCACGGTGAAAACGTTCGAGAAGAATTTACCTCGTTAGAACACTCACACCACGCCTAACCGACGCTATACGCGTGGTTAGTAGCTCGAAAAATATTATCTCATTATACGACGCCTAGTGATGAAGCAAGAAAGGAAATGGACGACCATAAGAAGATTTAAACCTTGTCGTGATGCTTCGAATTGAATCATGAATCCGCAACATCTTATTGTCATACGCGGGCGGTCAGTTTTTTTTTTCTTTACATAAGTCGCGTGACGCGCGAACTCGTAAGAATTCTGAAAAACGAGGAGAACATCCAGAATGAAAACAGAGCACGTTGATGCAAGTTCCTAAAGGGATTATGTATTAAATTTATACCACCTCACGTATGACCCGCAGGTTTCAACCGATTGTTAAGGAAAAAGGGAAAGAGGCGCAAATCTATCGGTTTTCAACGATACTATTCTTAACAGTAGCCGGGAGGGCGGCACAACGCAGCGACGCAACGTTAGCGTCGTCGTCACCGCACACGTGTATTTACTATTTATGACAAAGGATATAGCAGTTGTACGGGCGAGAATAAACCAACCGTTACTACGCTTCGTGCCAGACGCCGTGCGAATCTCGCACGCCATGAGCATTCTTAATTACACCGGTCTCCTGTATGTGTTCACGACACTTGCCCGCTGCTACTTTGACAGACTTCAGATTGTTCGTAAACTGCGGGAGGGTTATAAGTAAGAGACGCGTTAAAATGAACTGGGGCTTCTACTACCGGTTCATTCTCATAATTTCGAACGAAGAGGAATCTTCAACACCGAACGAAGTGACTCGGAAATGAAAAAAGTTTCCTTGACTCACCAGAAATGTAATCTGGATCAGGGCGATGCGTGCTCAGCCAGTGTGTTTCAGCAATCCTGGACGCGTCGGGGTAATTCACAAAAAAAATCCCAATGGAGAGTAAAAAATATCCTCGTGGTAAAACCTAAGGCGCGATAATGCTAGTCGTCCGGCATTGGTACAAACGATCGTTAAAACACAGAAAACGAACACTGGAAAAACCACCACCGAACTCACTGTCCCGCGTTATTACGACGTACCGCGGCGGTCACGGCTCCCCTCGCGGTGTCGCGTGGGCGCGAGTCGCGGCACAAAACGCAGATTCGAAAAAAATAAAGGAAACGAGGTTCGTCGGCACCGTAAAAAGCCTCAGTAGCTATCGCGGGAAGTTAACACGCGTAGGACGGAACGAGACAACACGCGCGCTGTTCGAGACGCAACTGCCACTACCGCCGACTCTATTTCCCGCTGTGCTCCCCACCACTCGTCGCGTAATCCCCCACCACCTCGTAGTGAACCGCGTCGCCCCACTACGTTGTCCTTTCTGATCATTCTTTAGTCCCTTCTTCGGCCTTCGATGATTCTTCGATATACCAATGCTGCACGCAATAGGACATATACCTACGTACACGTCTCGATCAAAGACCCTTGGACACTTGTCACGAACACACAAATACCTATTCTCCTGCTCTCGCAACGTGCCAATTTTTAAATCCCAATCCCCTTACACACCTTCGCCTGACGATATACGGTGAGTCAATAAGGATTGCGATCTAAAGGAATTCGCTACTGATTTGTTTAACGTTATTAGTAGACCGCGGATTTTACGCGTTTGTACGAACATTGAATGTGCAGAAATTACAAACGCCTGCGGGCAATACAGAAAATTATCCGGAACATCAGAAACTGAATATTTCAGTGTTTAAATGATAAAATATCTTTAAAAATATTTCACGCGTTGCTTAAAAGTCCGCAGTCTATTTATTGGTTTATTTCATTCATTAATCACTACCGCGTCGTAAGGAACGGAGCTGATCTTTCACATAGAATCCGAAAACTTTTTATGTATCTCCGATACTTCTAGTTTGCCCGTAGGAGCGAGTTCCATATTGAGTTGTATAGATACCATTTCTCACAAGTGTTCATTCGCAAAAACGAATAGTGAAAAGAAGCGATTGAGCTTATCTCCTAATATGAGACTCGCAGCAATTTCGCACTGGTGTATGCGCTCTGAGAAATAGAGGAAGAAAAACATAGGACGTATGGAACTCGATGGCTAGACAAGAAACTGCAGTCTATACACTGTACAATATACAGAGGCTAAATATCTAAAGAGTTGAAACAGTTTATTCACGAGATAAAATTGTACTCAATAGAAATCGTTCAATCGATATTTCCTTGAACTTTGACCAATGAACATTTTTTTTTTTCTAACTCGCATCGAAATCATTAAGCTATCGGTTATAGAATAAGTCTATTTTTATTGTCTCACCGTGTATGTGTCTGACTCTGCGGGAGGAATTAACCCCGACAGACTTTTATTCGTTTTTTATGTACCTTTTACAGGCACGCAACGCAATGTGTAACAAGTATTCCTTTATAAAGATAACTTATTATTACCTTTATAAAGATAACCGTTCCTAGTACAATTACTTGTTTCTAGTACGATAACATAATTTCTCAAGCTTATTTAGATTCGTTAAAGGACCTATATAAAGGCCTTTAGTGTCCCATAATAACTTGGCTTGGAAATAAAATAATGTTCAGAAGAAATCGCATTCGGTCAGCCAAGTATAAATGCAATTTTGATATTTGCAATTTCAATACGTTCACTTTTTCTTAAAATAACGTGACTGAGAGTTAGACGCCCACGCACACGCGTGCCCGACGTGTAGCCGCTTTAATGGACACTACAGTCGCTGTGTGATATGGAGTAAGTGTAATTGTTCAGCAGACTGCGTGACGCTGTACGCCAAGGGCGTGGCTGAATGTTCAAGTCGGTAATAAAGCAATTAAAAGAATGCGGTGTTCCATATTCATTGGAATCGTTTCACAAGTTTCTTCTGTGGTCACTGCTAAATATAAGAATTTATTAAGTAGATCAATCACGTTACACACGTTCTACGAGATGGAGAAAGAGATTACACATTCAACAATGTTAAAAATAACAAATACATAGACTGTTATATTCATCGCGTTCTAATATGATATAAACCGCTAACATTTGTGAGATCGATAACTGGAAACATAAAGTTCATCGCTAGAACAGATCATTAAGGATGTATAGGCTATATACTTAAACATTGCTAACATGTTGAATTTGTTATTATAGATTCCTATTACTATTAAAAAGCTACCNTATTCAAATTAGAAGAAAAATACATAGAATTTTTCTCTTAGAAGACGTCAGTGCCCACAACTTCTATATAAAAATTTTTCGCCGTCGTCAATAATTGATTGGATATTCCCTTCTATACTTTTTGGCACATAGCTATTTATTATTAGCATTGTTCTTCCGACGTCTGATTTCTTTTTAATTATAGGAAATGCGTTTTTCTAATGTACATAAACTTTTGGGGATTGACTCGATAGTCAACACATCCTTAAGCATTGAGACAGTAATCTTTGAAAAATGTTTTCGACATCTCACAGATACCGTAAACTTTTGACTTCAACTTCTTCAGTTAGTTAATTCAGTCAGAAAAATATTTATTTTTTTACGTCTTTAATATATAAAACATGTGCCAGCAGGAGAATATCTTATTCCTGCATTTTACTGAAATGTTCGCGCGGAATGGGACCTCTGGCTACCACGTCGTAATTTTGCATAGTCCGCAGGCGAAACACGGAGTTCCCCTACTTAGAAGGGAATCGTCGTCGACAATAGCGAATAGATTTTAATCCCCCGAGTCACGACGACGACGACGACGCGACGGTAGCAGAAAATTTTGCCTCTTCTTTGAAGTAGCTTTGTAGGCTGGTTCGACGTATAACCGCAGCGGCTGGAGCACAAGCTGCCGCGTAACCTGTTCTCATTTTTATCGTCAGCATCAGGTTTCAGTGCAGGTGAGCTACGAAGGTGCTGAGCCGGAGTCCAGCGAACCAGGCCTCGCGGTACTCGAGCATTTCCTTCCTTCTACCACGTCGTGGAAACGCATTGACCTTCGGGACAAAATGCCGACGATCAATACTTACAAACGTTGCACCGTGTCATCGTCATTCGAGAGCGCAGCCGGAATTATGCGACTTCTTAACGATCAACGACGGCTCAAACTAATTGCAACGGCAAGCGTTTTACCCTCCGTGAAATTTAAAACCGTGATCCAACGCAACGTAGGAAACTCGATCGATGTAAAAGCAAAAGTATCGCGCAATGCACGCGTAGCCAATCGATTTCAAGCGCCCTCAACTATTTTTTGATTACTCAGACATTTTTTTTTTTAAATACAAGTGGCTAGGTAACGATGCGTTTGAAAGAATTTTCAGTCTTTGATGATTTACATTGCATTTATTGCGTATCAAAGCGAAACATTTTATGTTTGTCTCCAAGGAACTTTGACATGTTTCACTGTGTCTTTAGAAAATATTGTTTGGTAACAGAGGACGTAAAATCATTAATGCACAGGCAAGAGTAAAGTTTACTGTAATTTCTATAGGATTTTATTAACATTGTTACTTCAGTAATATTAATTACAGATACCAATGTTGATACCATTAATTACAGATACCGATGTAATTCGCAATGTATGGTACTAACAAAGGAGGAAAATATAAAAAGAAATGGGGGGAAACAAAATTATGAGTACGTATACGTAATTTGAATTTAAGAGAAGAAAACGATGATGAATGGTTGCAATTATTAATACAATTTTTACCGTATTAACGAACGCACGTGACAGTTGATTATTCAATCGAGAGGATGACAGTGTTTCCGACGAGAATTGATTTATTCGATAAAATGACATGCGATATCACAAGTCGGTAGACACACCGCTGCGTTCGATAATGTGGGCTTAAATGTACCATCTCCGTAATATTAATATACAATGTTTAAACGTCGCAAGGCTTGATGAAGCACTTGGCGATGCTGTACGCCTAAGTCGAGTGCGATGGAAGTATTGTATAAAAATCTAAAAACAACCCTAATCGGATGCTCAGCGCGGTGTATTTCCGGACTACGCGTTCTCTACGATCCCATAAGAAATAACGTTGCTTCCGGTACTACAGTACGTCTTTACGCGCTAAATAAAACGATATTTATTCTGAGATAAACGATACATATCTTTCTTCTCTTTCTTCTCTTTCCTGTGCTAATAATAATTTCGAGATGAGCTACGTGTTTATGTATTTACTTATCAAACTAATCAACTAATTCCATTTTGCGCTACTAGTCACATCGTGTGATTGATATATATGTATATGACACTAACGATCGAAGGTATCTCGTAATTTCTACTAATGTTACCTCCTCCCTCCCATCTCTTCAACCCACCTTCTCCCGTAAGTACATTAGACACGACCGAATAGAACATCGAGTTCAATAATATTTCTAATACTTCACTTACACGCTATTATGTACAGTTACGAATACCGCGCCGTGATACCCAAAAACGAAGACCGTTGAGTACCATTCTACTGGCACGATGCAATCATGAAAGACGAAAGAGTGTTATTCGAAACCGGTCGATTGCTTTTAACGCGCATTGAGAGATAGAGCAGGGTAGTGAAAAACAGTGAAAGAAATGAGCGAGAGAAAGAGAGAAAGAGAGAAACGACACACTCTGCTACGGGGAACGAGAGAGAAAGTAGAAGAAAGAGGGGACGTAATGCACGCATTCTCGAACTATGCTGTACAAAAGTCATTTTTTATCCAGTTTTACGAACGACGGAAAAGCGCTTCTTCTTCTCGTCGAGCACCGATAGCTTCATTATGCCACGCTGTCTTTACTTGGTTCTCAATGAAATCAATCTACGCAATAGGTATCTGCCGTTTATAAAACTGGACATTTGTCAAACAACGGTATAAATTTTTTTTCTTCACAAGTTACCAAATAGTTATTATGTATATATAATATAGAATTGCGATCGATGAAAATCGATTCTAATTTAGCGGCTACGTGAAAAAGCCAATGGAAGAAATATATCGCAAATCTCCGTATCGGTATCGCACCATAAAGTATTCTACAAAATTAACGCTAAAGGAAAATTCAATTGGTTAAGAAAAATTGTAAAATAACAATATGAAAGAAGTAACAAAAATGACGTACAAATATAACAACGTAGGTAACAATAATTACAAAGTATCAGAANCGTTAAAGATAATATATGAGATTAAAAAAAATTTTAGATAGATTATTAGAATAATAATTACTAGAGCCGATTTGTTCCATTGGCTACACACGGTAGTTTCACGCTGCCGCGTAATGTTACACGTACTAATAAAAGAAACATCATTTACTTGTACTGTATTTACATTATCGAGATATAAAAATACTAACAAAAAACATACCTATAGACAAGGTTCCCCAAACGATTCACCTGTTTAGAAATCAACTAATTCATAATCGAGTTTGGCAGTAATATTGTCCCTATCTAGTTGCATCCTTATTGTTGTTCACAAGATCATCTCTCATTCAGTTCTCAGTAAAATGTAACGCCTGTTACGACGTCCCACACGTACACGTTCCCTTAATGCTATCCATTAACTCTTTTCGTCTCTATATATCCTAAATTCTTTACTACTCTCTTGGAAGATTTCCATTGCTCGCTGCACACAGGCCTCTGCTGCGGATCAATATAAAAAGAGTCGTTCCTCCCAACTATCGACACAGCTATCATGTACACCGGCCACAAGGACAGCGATTTTATAAAAACACGTGACTTCGCGTAACATTTGCTTCACCGCTGAACCTAGTTTACAAAATTGAGCCATAAGAAACACACAATGCAAAACATACATCTTTCATTCATTAAAAAATACGTTGATGCCTATGCACATATTTTTTTGTTCTTTTTAGTAAAATCTGTATTTAAATGCGCAACGAAATGAACAGCAATTCATTTATAAAACTGTGGATTTCTTAATTAAATAATTATCGTATGAAATCACAATGAAATTTTTGAACTCAGAAGTGTAGGTTCAGCGAAGAACTTTTGTACCACACACTCGTTACAATCATACAGATTGAAGTACGTTAGAATTCGTGGTGGCAGAAAATATTCGAACTATCGAATCACTAATTTCAAGGAGGATGATTAATAAAAAATAATGATAATACTCGACATATTCGTCTTAACAACGTACCACAGCCCACGCTGGAGAAACGGCTTACAACATACACACGCATGCACCGCTAAGTGTGTGCACGTATAATAAGAATATTTAGTATGCACAAATATATATATGTATATATATATATTTATGTATATATATATATATATATTATCTCGTTATCTCTAGAAATATAATAAATTTTATGTATGTGTCGTGTATGCGTGTTACGTGTGTGCATAGACTCATACTAGCACTCTTCCGGTCCGGAGAAGTGTCTTGCATATTTATGATCTCTTCAAAGACAGTTACATGGAAGAATAATGGAACGGCAACTTTCAAGACACGTGAAATTCGTGTCGCTCGATTAACACCTAGCCTCGGAAGTTGCATGATTAAACTTATCGGAGTATTCGATACATAATCTTTTTTCAATTAATTTTAAACAATAGTTTCCTGAGCATTCTGCCGACAGAAGAAATCCAGCTTTATCGCGAAACGATATCTCCGATAATTGTTTAACTAAAGATTGCTTCGTTTGCTGACAATATTGCACAATACGCTCTGATAACCGATATACCGTTATTATTGAAAACTATTTTGTATTCGTAAACAAATAAATCTACGTTGTTATCCTCTCCGAAGACTTAAAACCGGCATCATTTTTTACATTTGCTTACGGACTTGTCGAGTATACAACCTGCTGAGAATCCTTACGATTTGCAATAGAGAATATCCTCGTTGGATAAAATTGTTGAGCTTGCAGACAGCCTACAAGCATAGGGAGAACACTTTGGTAAGTTTATAGCAACTTTATCCAGCTCGATTGTCAGAAATGACCGGTCAAATTCTCCTAAGAGATCGGAAAGGACTTTTTAGCTTTCAGTTTCGTTTCCGTAGAATCGTTTTTCCTTTTGTCTTTACGTATCTTCTCGAGACTTTTAATAGTGAATTTGCTACCCTTACTACCGCACGGAAGCTTTTTGGTAGATTCCACCGATTTTCCATTACTGGTTTCCGCGTCCGCGTCGTCCTCTTCAAGCCTCTTGCCTTTTACGGTTGTTTCCTTAGTCGAATTCTTCTTAGCGCTTTTAGTACATTTCACCGAGTCCAGTACGGACTCTATACTACTCCTATACTTAAACTGATTCATAGACTTCTTTTCTGGTTTGAGCTGACTGTGTATGCTTTCACAATCGGAAGTGTCTTTATTATTATCACTAGAAGTATTGGAAAATGATGGTGACTTTTCTCCATTTGCATATTGTCGGCAGTCTTCAACGTGTATGTCGACCAAAGTCGTATGGGATATTTCCGTATCAGCCTTCTTGTGATCACCATACGAATTCTTCTTTGCTCTGCTAAATGGATTTTTTGTTTTCGGCAAAGAGATTTGTTTCTTTGCGATGTGATCAATACTCTTCGGTAAGAAAATGTGTCTCTTCGTAATTTGATCAATATGATTTGATGAAAAGTAACGGCACGTACTTTCCAATATCGTTTTATTAGATTTCTTATCCTGAACGTTCGAAGTTATTTCCACCTCTTTCTCATTCTTCTCGTCTTGCTGTTTGATATTATCCGTATTACTGCTCGTTTGAGTTAATGCATCCTTACGATCGACCTCCTGGTTGGTGACTGTATGTTGATCACCTAAAATTATTGCACGAACTATTCTTCGCTGCAAGGCAACGTATTCTTCATCACAGGGGATAACAGGTGATTCCTCCCCTGTGAGAGGCCAGTGCTAGACAAGCTTCTCGGTGCGTGAACTAGTTGGAATAGAGCTGATACTGCTTGAATTATTAGAAGTGGTATGGTCGTGGCTGCTGGTGTGTGTGTGTCCTCCTTCCTGCCCCCCCTGACTCTGGGAGAGGCTTAGTCGCCGTCAGTTTACCAATTCTACGCTTACAAATTGCTTCAATCTCTCTAAGTATTGATTATACAACTCCACGTCATTGTGGCCAGCACCCTACAAATATAATAGAATTATAACATTTATACAATTTATTAAAAAGTAGCCAAGAAGAATATAAGTGTTGTTATATACCTCAACCCATAATGGTTCTACTGCTCGTGGGCACCTTTCATAAATAGCCAAACCATGACTGAAATTTATCACTTCGTCCTCAGTCCCATGAATTACCAAAACAGGGGATGTTACTTTGGGCACTTTGTCTATACTGTAAAAGAAATAAACTTTATCAACTTGTTATACTTAAATCTATATTTGTTTCTAATGATAAATACAGGATATGTAATAGATAAATAAGGGCATGTAAATACATAGTCGATCTCAATTGTCTGTCATTAATTTAATCGAATGAAAAAAAGGACTGGGGATAAGCAAAGCAGAAGCATAAAACCTATTAGCGAAGTATGCGTCAACGGATCATGCAATTTATAGGTTTCCATGACGCAAGCATGTATGTAGATAAACTTTTATTGCTTCCCATCTACGTTCCGAGAAAAATCCGAAAAATTTCAATTCGTGCGCTACGTGAATATAAGCACGCGCGTAACATTCTAATAAGGTTCCGTGAACCCGTTATGTCAGTCAGCAGTTCGATTCGTTTTGTATCAGGTTTAAATTGTAAATATAGAATTAAACGTCGGTGTGTATTCAACATACAAGCGTGTGTGCACCTGCACCACGTGTATGGACGTATGTACGTACGCACACTTGAATGGGAAGCAGTGTCATGCGCGTAAACTTAGCTGTGCCAATCACAGGTATGCGATAAGCGGATTATGGATCGCGTTTCATTTAACGCAATAAAGGGGGACGCGCGTGTGTTAAGAAGAATTTAACCTACCTAGGAAAGGCGTCGAAAAACCATGTCCTTTTAGTATTAGGGAACGCGACTCGCATTCCCGACATCAGGGGTGAATGCAGAACGACTGCACCAACCTCGTATCGTGCGGCCAAATCGACCGTGGGCACAGTCCCGATACTCTGACCATAGAGAATAATGTTCTCCGGACTAATACCGTAACGTGTCCGGAGAGCATGCCACGCAGCATCTATGTCTGCGTAGAGGTTCTTTTCCGATGGCCTACCGCCGGAAACACCGTAACCCGAATAATCGTAACTGAATATGTTACAATTTATCCGCGAACCGAGTCCCAAATAAAAGCTGGACAGCTGTCCCAGATCCACCGCGTTCCCATGGGAGAATAAGATCGTGAAACGTGCGGTGGCTGAGCATCGTATGAACATGCAGGCTATGCGATTCCCTCGTGATGTTCTTGCGTAAAAACCTTCCACCGATTCTTTCTCCCGTTCCGTGTACTGCCATTCCGCTCTCTCGGACAAAGAAATCGTAAACTTGGAGCCCTCATCCTCGATGAACGTGTACGTAGGCTCAGGTGGTAGAAACGCTAGTTTCGCGGCGATCCTGGACGGGCAAGGTGGACAGCAAAACAAGCAACAGAGTTCACTAAAACTTAACCCGTTCATCGTTCCACGGTAGAACTAAACACACACGATAGCGTTGTTTATCACGTCTCTTCGTAGATACTCCACATCGAGATTAACGAGTTTAGATTCGAAATTTCTATTCCATGCACTGTACTTATCACGGTCACTGATTCAATCGTAATGTCATTTGTTATCGTACACTCGATAGAGTCTCTTACGATGATTCAGCCATGACGGCTCGCAGGAACGGACGTTTTCTCTCCCTCCTGTTTCCTGTCTCTCTCGCACTTCGCTCCCACCCACTGAACGTTACACACTTTCATTGTATTCAGGTAAAACCAAATACACGACGAAGATGGAGAGATCACAGCCATGGCGCTACTTTTGATGTGTTCTTTCTATACACTGCTCACCATGCTCACCATTGGTGAAAGATTTAACGCCGACGAGATGATTCGACGTGTATACGAAGAATGGCCGCTAATTCAAGTATCGCTGACTAAAGTCACCAACGCCATAAATAACTGTGTAAAACATACTGCACAAGGTTTATCACTTTTCGTGCGGACGAAGCATTAACAACATAAAATCTGAGGCGCAAGCTTAGAGCATCGAACTCGAAAGTCTCTAGTCTAACGTTTTAAGGAATTTATTGGACATGGTATTGATGGTATATATTCTCCTCTCCCTTCTTTAAATGTTTTTCCCTTCGTGCATTCCTCTGATAATTTTTCTCCCACGCTCAAACTATTCGTTGCTGCCTCTTCGTATTTTAATCCTTTTACTTTTATTAAAATATAAGGTATATTTTCTTATACAATACATTCAAACACTGTGAGTAGTTTGCAATTAGCTTTATTTAAGATGTTAATTTGTATACATGTATATCTTCTTCAATTGAATTATTGAGGAAGATTGTTGCAGTCCGTCCAAGTACATCCATAAATTAAATCCAGTATAAAAATATTGGTTCATTATTCACGTCATCTTCTATGATTGTATGACCCAACATACATATTTACATAATGTATAATACGTGAATTGATGAATTAAGTTATTTATGCGGTCAACGCAAGTCAAATTAAGTCTGACTGTGTTATATAGTGATATTCAATTAATCGCATCACAGGCATCAATCCAGTCGTTGTAAACATCAATTGGTTCTGATAATCCATTAATGGTAGTTTGATAGTCTTCTAAACAAACTCTGCAGTAGATTCTTGCCGTATTACGACTTTTGTCCCTAAAATTAGAAATTACACAGATTAATATTGCAAACGAAGTAATAATATACTTGTAAGCATTATGATCAAACTCGGGCTGACTCGTGCAAGCGCGATTGCGAATGTACCTAACCTATATATGCACATATGCATGTGCACTTCTTTGTGTATGTTGATACTTACATTTTAACTTCGCAAGACTTCTCGTGGTTACAAAATGGGCATGCAAATTGCGTCTCCATAGGTTCGATCGCTCTCTTTCTTTGTGGAGCTTGACGTTTACTTTTTCTGCGACCCATTGCCAACAAATTCGATAAATCTATTATGTACGATGCACCTTTGTTCGTGCACACTGTGCAGGCAAATCAAGGCAAATGGTGGCAGGTTTGAGTATGCACTTTAGAATGGCATAAGACGATCTTCTGACAAAAACTAGTATCTTAGAAGTATTATAGCACCCCTAACGTAAAAACTAACAACTAGCTAATGTAAAAAATATAGTTTCGAAAAAGATCGTGCGATTGGAATGAGATACTTTCATAACTAAACGATCATACATAAATTATGTACAGTATATATAATGTTGGTTGGAAAAAAGGGCGATTCAAAGTAGAATCTTATAGATTGTGATTGAGAGTTTAGGGCAGGATATGAGATTTATTCAGACTTCAGACTCTTAATACGTATATTTTCAGAGTAAATGAATCGTTAACTTAATACTTATTAAAATCCTTCGATATTTATTAAAATCAATGAAGGAATTTAAAATTTGTTTAAAACATTAGAAAATTAGTAGATGCGAACATTCAATATTAAATTATTATTGGTTTATTGTTTGCATAATTAAATATTAATAACACGCGAAAGTTTTTGAACCCTGTTAAGAAGTAAATCGCCTTGTTTAACCATGGCTTGATATTGCCAATTTTTACTGTCTGGTCTATTAGTTTCAACTACTCCGCCAACCCGATCTACTTTGCAATGTAATCTTCCAGCGGCGATGAAACGTGATATTTCCCTAGAAAGAATAATTAATAATAAATAAATCCTATGCTACGTTTATCAGAGAAAAGACCATTTTTGCTTACTGATCGATGTATTCTACTGTGACACCAAATGCTTCAGCCATGTACTGAAGCGTTAGAGATCTGTAAGATTCTAAAAGCTGCGTATACGCGAGGATGCGCATCTCCCGTACATAATACCGATAATGTGGAAAAGCTAAATAATCTCTGCGCAATAAACCTTCGACATGTGCTGAAATATGGGCATATTATTAATAGGCGATTTTAGATTCAAGACTCTTTGATAAAACTTCATAATTTTAGTACCTAGATTTTTGAAAAAGTCGGCGTACTGACAGTTATATAAAGAGAACAAGTATGCTTTTACATCTGGATTACTATGAAGTACTTCCAGAATTTCTGAGCCCTTTATAATCTTGTCTCGAAGTTCGTTCCTAGGCAAACTTATCATGCTTAAATATACTGTGTATCTCACAAATGTGTTATAATCCATGAGTTCATAGCTCGTAAACGTGCTAATCGTATCCAAGAAGAAATTCGCAGCTTCTTTAAAGTCGCGTACCGCTATACAGTATGTTCCTTGATATACCTTTAAACGATTTCGTCTATCCCAATCTCCTCCTTCTTCTATTAAACTAAAATAGAAACCAGTATTTATAAAACTCTTTTTATATTTAATCGATAATCCAATTTGTCGTTCATACCTTTTAGCCTTCTCTATGTTTTTAGTAATATGTTCATGATCTAAATAAAATAACCCAATTCTAATGTTGTGGAACACGATATCCAATCTATGTCCTAAGGATACAGTCTTATCATAAGTTTTTCTAAATGCTGAGATTGCCCCGTCCTTATCACCTATTCTGCACAAATGCTCGGACTTTTTCAAATTTGCTTCTCTTACTTCCATTTCACCTAAATTCTGTTCGGCATCTTCGATCGCAGCATCCAGTTCCTTTAACTGTTCCATGTTCTTGGCTTTCATAGCGGCCAAGAGTTCTTTGTCAACTGGCCAATCCAAGTCTTTACAAACTTCCTCATAGAATGGAGCCATATCTAGAAAAGGTAGCAATTTTAAAACATTCTGTAAGCAATACCTAAACCAAATGGTGCACAAGAAGGAAACAATAATTTGATCAAAGTAGTAAGAGAGATAGAGTCGTAAAAAGGGGTTACGGAAGACGTCATTTTAATTTTTTAAATTTCATTTCATACACAGTACAAATTAATTTATAGTTAAAAATGTTTATCTTCTAATAGACTTCGATCGAAAACAGAATTATTCCTACTATAAGTATAAACTGACATCGTAAATTGTAACGTAAAAAGTGCAAACTCACTTTCTGCTTTAATGGCATCTAACAGTTTCTTCTTCAGAAAAGAGTCATCCTTGTGCTCCGGTAGGCTTAATAAAAATTTAGTTTGAGCCAAATCCAAATTAGGATTCTTCTCCAAACCCTCTTCCTCGAGATTTTCTAGCGGCATTTCGATATTGGAACTATATTTATATACAACACGCGACAAACTGAAACTTTATGCCTCCTACTTGCGAACATGAAGCATATGAATATGAGTGGTCCACGAGCCAAGAACGGAAATAACGTTTCCATAGCCACTCACTAGGTGACGGACAGTGTTTCCTGGTTTTGAATGCTATTTTTTAAACACTTTTATGTTAAAAAGGTCAGGAAAAAACGGTGGCTATTAAAAATGTTGATTCATGCGATAATAGGACATATGCTGCAAATCCTTCATACATTTCAAGTTAATTGATCAGCTAGAACATGAAAAAGTACCAGGTAGACATATATACTAAAAAAAATCATTTAGATCAGAATAGATTATTAAAATGTTTATATTTGCACGAAATTGCTATCTGTATATGTATTATGTATAATCGTACTTCTCATCTTACTAATAAATTACTATTTCACAACTTATCGTTCCTTTTTCCAGAAACGTGAACATTTTCATTCTTGTAGGAATTGTACACAAAATAATTGCATGTACACACGCATAAACTTTAAAATAATATTTATTTATTCTTTATACGAAATTGACCGATTGGTATATTTAAATTTTCATTCGAGTTTCATGTCGGAGAACAATATAGCATTTGCAGGATTTATCATTATGACAGTTTTATTCGGATTTCAAGTCCGTATAGAGATCCAAGTTGAACAACTTATTCGTAATCTTATTATTACATATTATGCAACTTTTTCGTATTACTGTGACATGGATAAGTGTGTAGATACATATATATTATGTACCTCTGTATGTGTGATCAAACCAGAATAAACCGATTTAGAACTGAAACACAGGAATTTGTTCCTTGGATCGATCTGCGGTTCAAATTACGTTCAATTACCATGAATAACAGGATTTAACGAAGTACCAGGATGCATACATATTACTCGCAAATATTTTTATAAAAATAATCAATGAATTCTTCCTTTTGCGCTATGAGTAATATCGATGTATGTACGCATGTATACGTATGAAGTGTCGTAAAAAGAGGTAATGGTAGAATATGAAAATAAAATATGTTTAAATAAGTCATAGAAGACAGATTTTAATAACTGTTTTTATGTACTCGAATCCACGAGTTTGTTTAAAACGTTTCTCGATCGAACCAATACCCCATGTATTTCATAAAGTTGAACGTAAACGACATACGTGTACATATACGAACATATACAAAGGGAATATACAAACGGCACTGTCGACATACATAGTGACACAAATATTCAATCGCAGTTCACATTTTTCGTCTGAAATACATAAAATTCAAAATGCATACATATAACGTAGTGTTCATATGTATGTATGGAACGAAGAACCTGGGGTGCCAGTGCTCCTGCTTTCCAATTTTGTGTGTAGTTTCATTGCGGTGTTTACCTTTTTTTAGAGAAAGACTGATCACGCGTTACGACCAAATTACATCGAAAAAAGAATGTACTTAAAAATAACAAGGTCAATTTTTTCATGCGTCATAAGATAAATTCTGAAAATATTTAATATTTGGAACTATGAAACAATCGCGACTACGATTAAAAATATACATAGCGTAATATTTTCTGATACATAATAATATTGATCATGATATTCACAATGCATATAATCCTGTTCATCTCTTCTCGACTGAATCACCAACGCCAAGTCTGCTGGAAACATTTTCTCAGCGAATCGTTACTACTTTCTTGTGCTCCATTTGCTCGAGCGCAAAATCAAATATGATTTTCAACTGCATTGGAGGAAAGTTACTTCAGATTTAATAGAAAGGAAAGAAAACTAATCGACTGTTCCTCGACTGTTTTTCGGCCATGAACGTGATTTCCTTTTCCTCAATGATCCGCGAGGAGAACATTGCCCTGTAAGAGGGATCTCAGCGATCTATGTACATAAAAGATATTTGCAACTCTTTACGATACAGGTATCATTATTACTCAGCATGCGAGCAGGTATGTCGGATACGTTGAAATACGATCGGCCGTTAACAAGAGCAGGCCTCTTCCACTAGTTAGAAGCCATTAGATGAAATAATAAAATTAATGGTTCTCTTCAGTTGCTCTGTTCAACGCAATAGTATAGTTTGATTACCCGTTAGCTACTCCATTTTCTGTCTGAACAGTATTAAGTGGTCGGATGATAAGAACTAATCAGCGCTGCATCTACTGGTTCCATGCACGAAGGACACGTCAAGGAACGCAGTAACCAATCGTCGATACAGACAGCATGATAAGTATGCATACAGGGTAAATAACGCACTTCCTCTCCCACCTGGAGCTCCATCATGCATATCACACATTCTCCCTTTTTAGTCCCATCGTATTCTCTCATAGGCAGGTGTTGAATAAGTCCTATGCGTTTCGCTATTCTAACTTGCTGTTCCTCTTCGGTACCTGTTCCTAGATTAACACCGATGCCAATTTGTTGAAGGTGAAGTTCCCTCGTAAAAATTGGTGCATAAGAAAATGTAACTGGCCCCTGTGGAATCAATGGAATAAAAACTCTTTATACAATTGTAACATATAATTCTTATTCATTAACATTCAATGATACTGAAACTGCGAACCTGACCAAGCATTGTTATCAAACGAGAAAAACCGCGATAAAATCAATCTAACACGTACATATATCGTTATCGTCATGATAATTAGGTGCAAATTTTTATAGGTTCTTTTTAATAATGTTTAAAAATAATGTGAAGAATAATGTTTCCATCGTTGATGTTGTGCGAAATAAGAAAATTAATGAATCGATGCGATGATAACACGCACGGTAGGGATCGCAAGAGAGCGAGTGATAGCGCACAGTAGAGAAAGAAACGGAATTACATTGTTAGGTACCGGAGGTCCGAGGCCTTCTTGCAGAGAGCCTCTGGTCAACGTAGGAGGATCAGGATTGTTACTTAACAAAGTAGTATTGTCCTGCTGATTGCTTCCAGCGCGTTTCAAGCAATTTCCCATTTTGGTGAAACGTTCGTTCTCCTTCTCCTCCTTCTCCGCCACCAGCACCGACACCACCACCACTACCACCTTCTCCTTTAGGTTCGCGTTTCACGGACAACGTGTTTAGGGGCTCCTTAATCTCTTTGATCCCGACGTCGTAATTAAACAATCATGATCAATTTGACGTGGGAAATTTCAAGTTTTATTCCCATCATGAACTCTTCTCTCCTCCTCGAAACACGTAACGAAGTCCGTTTCGATCTCCCAACGGATCACGGTCTGTGTCACGGTTTCAAATTCAGTAAACGGATTTTCTTTCTTCAAAACATTATTTTCCGTCTTCGTCGCCGTCGTCGTCGTCGTTGTCACATAGGTATCCGCGAACCCGTGCCACTGCCACAGTCAGGTGTCCGACGATGTTGAATGCAGCAGCGCATTTAGCGAGATGCAATTTAAAAAAAAGAAAAGGAAACAAAACAAAGGACTAGTTAACCACAGTTTGCTAAGAAAGAGACTTTTCACACCATGCATTCGTCAAACTCTCAGTCGTGCACTCAGTCCACGCGCTTAGTAAACACAGCACTGCTTTGTTTCTACTGCGTAGTAGAAGTAGAAGTATAAGACATACAAATGAAAGATTACTGGACACCATTCGTTGTTAGAAGGAATGACATTTTCTAACATCCAATCACGATAGGACGATTTAATGACAAAAATCTTAGTCCATTAATAAAGATGTTTTATATCTACACTTCATGTTAAAATCAAATTCTTCGTTTTTCGTTAACTTCGAATTATGTTTTCATTTTTCCATGATGATTTATCTTATTGAATCTTAGAGCATATACTACTGGAGGCAGCACTCCGCTTGCCGAAGTGTAGGGGAGTTACTAGAGAGTGAGACAGGTATAACGGGGTATATGCTGTCTCTTTCTAGGAGCACGTGATTGGTTGACGGTTGTCGCCACCGTCAACCGCGGAAAACAAGTGATTTTCTTTTGAAAGTGAAGTTCTTTAGCGATAATTTATTGAATTAATTCAATGAAAAATGCCTAAAAAGTGTTGTATACCAAATTGTAAAATACAGCGAGATGATCCAGGTGGTTTTGATATTAGTTTCTACATGTAAGTTTCAGTTGAATGTAAATGATTCCCATTTATTTGATTCAAATTAGTTTAATATTATTC